CTGCTAGTGCCCTCGCGGCAACAACTTTGCAGCCCCCTGCTGCCCCGCATTTTTGCTGCCCCGCTCTCTCCCCCCGGAACAGTCCGGCAGCCGCGGGGCGGCCCTCCCGTTCTGTGTCCCCCCCGCGCCTTGGTCCGCGTATCTCCCCTGGCCTGCCCACTGGGCTCGCCTGGGTCGCTCTCCTGCACTTGGTTGCTTACGCGGGCTCCTCGGTGGCGCTCACCACCCTCCTTCGGGTTGGGTGCCCTCTGGGCCCTGCCTCGTCCGCTGTCTCCCCCTGCCGTTGTCTCCGCCGCCTGTCCGCGCCGCTGCGGCTGTCTGCCGCGCTGGCGCGGGTCGGGCCGCGCCCCCCCCCCCTCCCCGCGGGGCGCACTCGATGGTCCTTTACTAGCCACTCCACCGGGTTCATGGCTAGCTGCTGCGCCCGGCTCCCCCGCCGGTTCCTGTCCCCGCGCGGTGCATCTGCATGTGTCGGGCGAAGACGCACTTGTCCCACGTTCCTGCGGCTGCTAGCTGCACCCTACCAGTATGCTAGCACGTCTCAGGCGAAGTTTTCCCGAATCACACCGCGGCCGTCAGTTCAGTTGCGCCCCAGTCGAGCTGCGGCTTGTCTCAGGTGGAACCTTTCCCCATCATTCTGATGCTGAAAGCTGCGCCACAGCAAGGCATCGGCATGACTCAGGCGAGGATAACCATTCCCCCCCTTCCTGCGGCTGCGAGCTGCACCCTACCAGTAGACCAGCTCCCCAGTCACACCGCGGCGGTCAGCTGCGCTCCGGTCGAGCATCGGCTTGTCTCAGGTCTGACCTTTTCCAATCATTCTGCAGCTGTTCGCTGCGCCCCAGCATGGCCTCTGCTCGTCTCAGTCTGGACGTGCCCTGGATCCGGTGGCTGTTAGCTGCGCCCCAACCGACCTGGCAGGCGCGGCCCGCGCCCCCCGGCCCGCCCCTGCTGCTCGTGCTCTTGCTGGGCAGCTGTGCGTTTCAGGCGGAACCTCTCCCCGCCATCCCGCGGCTGTTTGCTGCGCCCTACCAGAGAGCTGCATGTCTCAGGCGATGCAATCCCCCGTCGCTCTGCGGCTGTCTGCTGCACTTCGGTCGTGTCTCAGGCTGCCCCTGGTCGCGCCTTCCTCTTTCGATCCACGGCCGCTAGCTTCGCCCCCGCTGGGCGCCAGGCTGTCTCAGGCGAAGCATCTCTGCTGCCGCGGCTGCTAGCTGCTCTCCTGGGCCCCGGGCTGTTCTTAGGCGGCGCCAGCGCGCGCGCCCGCCCTCCTTCGGCTTCGACAGCTTCCCCCAGAAGGTCATCGAGCTCCCGGCGGCTGTCTGCCGCCTCTCTCGGACGGGCGCCCCTCGCCCCATGCCCCCCCCGAGGCCCCGAGGCGCGGGGGATGGGTGGCTCCCCTCGCCCTTTCGCCCCTGCGCTGGCCCTGGAGATGGCCTGGGTTACTGCGTGGCCTTCGGCAGGGGCTCTCCTGCGCTGCCACCCCGTCCTGCCGCCGTGTGTCACTCCTCGGCTCCGTGCTCTCCTTGCTTTTCCGCGGCACCGTATCCGACCGGATTGGCTTCGGGTCTTGCTACCTACTTGCCACATGTACAGGGAGTTCTGCAAGGTGCGGGCGATCTTCTACTTGTTCAACGTCTGAGCCGCGGATTTGTTCTTCTCGTTCTCTGTTCTTGTCTTCGTCGCCGCCTCTCCTTTTTCCCTTTACGCTCTTTCCTCTTGTTCCTCTGTTGTTTGCTCTTTCGCCCTCTTCCTATGTTTTCTTCGTTCGCCTCGCCTCTGCCGCGTTGCCGCTGTGCGTCGCCTGGTAGTTTTCGCCACCCTCGCGGCCTTATATTCCTGCGCTTCGCCGGCGACAGTCGCGCTGGGCGCCGTGGCCTTGTGCTGTTCGACCCTTTGACGCCGCGCGGGTGCCCGCCTCCTGTCGCTATCAAAAAAGTACTCCCGCCAGCCCATCCAGAAACGATGCCCAGAGGAAGTGCCTCGATCAGGGAAGTGGGCAGGACGCAGAGGAAGGGTCCCCCGGTGGAGGCCTCTTGGAGCGTCTTGGGGGCCTCTTGGCGGTCCTGGGCGCCTCTTAGAGCGTCTTGGGTGCCTGGGAGAGCAATTTGGGGGCCTCCTGGGGGCTTCTGGGCGCCTCATGGGTCCTTGCGAAGCGCTCTTGGGAGCCTTGGGAGCGTTCTTGGGGCCCTCCTGGGCCATTTTGGAGTCATCGTGAAGCCTCGGATGGCCATCGGAAACGAAAAAGTGTGAAAAAGCCAAAGCGTTGATTTCCCCGGGGTTTTTGAAGGATTTTGGCCTCTTCGCGGCCTCCTGGGGAGCTCTTTGGCCACTTGGAGCCGTCTTGAAGCGGTCTTAGGGCCTCTTGAAACATCATGGGAACCATCTTGAGGCATCTTGGGATATCTTGAGCCATCTCGAAGGTCATCATGGGCTCTCTCAGGCGCTTTTGGAGCATCTGAAGCAGTGCGCCCCCTAGGAGGCCCAAGCGTGGCCAAAACCATGATACATTAATGATTTTGGCAGTCTGGCCGAGGCCTCTTGGAGCGTCTTGCGTGCCTCTGGGGGGCCTCTTGGGGCCTCTTGGGGCCTCTTGGGGGTCTCTTGGAAGCCTCTTGGGGGCATCCTGGGGCTTGGGGCCACATGGGGCCATCTTGGGGCCATCTCGGGGCCTCTTGGGGCCTCCTGGGCGCCTCTTGGGGCCATATTGGAGGAAATCGATCACAGGAGGGGGGTGGCGAAATTAGCCTCCCCCCTTCAGGAGGCCACAATGAGGCCAAAACCCAAGTAAAACCAATGATTTTGGGCTTCCTCGCCGAGGCCATTTTGGACGCTCCAACGCGTCGCGGAACCCCCCGTCGACGTCCAGAGGAGGGGGTAGGGGGAGGGGTGAAACCCTCCCCGCGCAAGTTTCCTAAACCACCTACGCCCAGAGGGCTGGTTGGATTCCGCGCTGCGCTGTGCCCATCGCCTCGCTCGCCCCCGTCGTTGCCCTGCGCCAGCTAGCTCTCTCTCTCTCTCTCTCTCTCTCTGCGCGTCGCCCGGACCCCTCCTGGGCGACCAACGCGCGTCGCGGGGACTCCGTGCGGCGCCGCGCCCGCAGCCTTGGACATGGGCGTGCGCGGGCAAAGAGGGAAACAAATAACGGGAAAGAAGCGGGCGCGATCCTCGTGAGGAGTGTGCCGACATGGGCGTCGCGGCGTGCGGGCGCTGTTTTTGGGGTTCCAGGGGAAGCTTCTTGGGGCGGCCACGCTCAATGTCACGAATATTCAGGGTCAGGCATACGTGAACTATTCACATTCGTATGTATATGTGTATGTATATACACACACCAGGCGTGGCCGTGCTCGCATTCATGCAAATATATTCAGTCGCGCGCATATTCATGCACACTCAGAATCGCTGGCGCTCAGACTCACCCGCGCTCAGTCTCTCGTAATCCGGCCTATCGTCTTCGTTCGTGTAGTGTGGCCCGCCTCGCAATTCGGCGTACCCCTCATACGATTCGTGGCCCCATAGGGAGCGCCACCGAAGAAGATATTCACAATTACGGTACTCACAACTGCATATGCTTGGGTCTTTCGCCAGGCTAATTTTTTGGTTGCCCGACAAAGCAATCCAGGTTGTGTATGGGTAGCGTGAGAGGGCCCAGGGAATAGCATACGACGTGGCCTCAAGCTATTTGCGAAGGCCCAGCATTGGACCAGTCATTGGCGAAAGTGCCCCAAAGGAGTCACAGGGGTTCTACACCGCTTCTGGTTGAATTTCGATTCTCCGAGGCCGCGAAATTCTGATCACAGCAGGTGTAGGCGCCCCCGACGCAGCCGCGAGAGGTGACCCTGGCCGGCCCCTGGGTGAAACGTGGTCCATGCCTACTACGTCCGAAATGTCATTCCCGTTTGCCGCGTGCCGTCGTGTTGCCTGTGTGTAGTTGTTTCTGGTTTGTCCCCCTTCTCCTCCGCGTCTGTTGCGGGGTTTCTTGTCGGCCTCTTGGAGGCCTCGAGGACGGCTTTGTGTGAGCCTTCTCAGGGCTCCCGGGTGCTCTTGGTCGGGGTCTCCTTGAGGCATCTAGGGGGCATGTTGGGCGTCTTGGGGGCCATCCTGCGGGTGAGGGGTCCCAAAGCCCCTACGAATTCTCCCTCTTGGGCCTCTCCTGCCCCCACCTTGAGTGTCTTTTTGACAGTCTTAGGGGCTTGTTGACCAGTCTTAGGGCTCTCTCCGGCATCTCCAGGCCCTCTGGGGGGTCTCTTCGGCCGTCTTATGCCAATCCGGGGTGTTTCTCGGGCCGTCTCGGGGTTTAGAACTCCGGGATGGCGAGAATGCGACAATCATCCAACAACCTTACGAGCATCAATGATTTGGGCATCTTGAAGCCGTCTTGTGGGTCCAGTGTGGTCTTTTGGGCCGCCTCTTGAGGCCATTCTAGGATGTTTTGGAGGCATCTCCGGCGCGTTGGAGCTGGCATTTTGGCCAGCTTGAAGGCTGCGGTGGGCGAATCTGGATGCTCTGAGGGCCAAGGAGGTCCGCCGTGGAGCTCGTACACAATTCCCTCTAGCGGGATTTTGGACCCAAGGGAAGGGGGAAAAAGGAACAACCAATTGTCTCACGCGCCTTTTCACCCCCTGCAAGCGGAGGTCGGTGGAGTTTTTCAAGACTCTGCAGGTAGGTTGGGGGACCTGGGACAGGGTCGCCGGGTCACTCACCCGCGGGGGCGCGAAGATGGCCACAGTTTGTGCGGCCCATGCGGGGCAGCTGCTCTTGTCCAGGGTGGCCTCGCGAAGGCGCGACGATAACCGCGCATTCCAGGACGCCGCGCGCGAAGTCACCGTAGGTTCGCTCTGCATTGACGCGGCCGCAGCCCCAGCGCGGGCGTTCAAGTTCGAACGCCGCCGGTGGCTTGGAGTCGGCCGATGTCGAGCGATCTGCGGCGTCAGAGACAAACGACGACGCGAGCTTGCTACAGGCGGCCTAGAATCTCCTTGGGTGCCCTCCGACTTCAGGCCGCCGCCTGCGCAGAGTCCCCGCGCGAGCCGGGGCTGCCGCCCTACCGCGAGCTGGCGTCGCCGGCCTTCCGATCCGACATCCTCACGGTCCTCCCGAAAGGGGGGATGGTATGGAGGTCGGAGGCTTGTGGGCGCTCTTGGAGGTGCTTGGGGTTTTTTCTTGAGGGTTTCGGTCCTTTTCGGGCTCTGGGAGGACGCCGGACGCCTCCCAAGATCCCCCGAGACCTTTGGGCACATGGGAGAACTGTAGCTCAGGAGTTGTTTTGTTTGTTTTGGGGGGGCGCGAAATGTGGACGAGACGAAACGGGATGATGGCTGACTGGCTGAACAGGTCTGGGAGAGCTGCTGTCAGCTAGTCTGAAATGAGCAGGAGACCGGGCTCGCTGTTGATTTTTTTGTGAGTGTAAGAACAGTCGTTGTTTCCCGCTCGCTCCCCCTCGCCCCTCCTGGGAATCTTGGTCTCACTTTGTTTGTCTCGCTGCCCGGTCCCCAGTACGACTGCTTAGATTGCCACTGTGATGCCCTCATCCTGATGCGATTCATTGGAGATGCTTCACGGCCGGCTCTGAAGGGCGATCAGGAGGCCCCAGGAAGGCCAGGAGGGAGCGGAGGAGCGCACAAAGGCAGGCTGACGATTATCCCAGAACGGCTTGAAGAACACCTTGACACTGGACCAGAGACAGAGCACCGTGCCACCTCTATCGAAGACGCCTACGGCGAATCACCGCCGCCCCCTGCCCCTTTGGAAGCGCCTCTGTGGCCGACAGCTGGGCCAGAGCTTGGCCAAGTTATCGGGCCAGTTGTTCCCCGAGTCGGTTTGGAAAGACTTCGGGGAACGCATAGGGGAGCAAGAAGAGGAGGAAGGGCAGGATGAGCAGAAAAGAGGAGGAGGAGGAGGAGGAGGAGGAGGAGGAGAAGGAGGAGGAGGAGGAGGAGGAGGAGGAGGAGGAGGAGAAGGCCTCTTGGGCGCCTCTTGGGGCACTCTTGGGGCCTCCTGGGAGCTTCGGGGGGCCTCTTGGAGGATTTTTTGGGGCCTGTGGGGGTTTTGTTGGGGGCCTTTTTGGCCGTCTTAGGGCGTTCCTGGCTTGTCTGACGCCGTCGGAAGCCGTTTTGGGGGCCTGTCTGGATCGTCTTGGGGCTCTCTTGGTGCACATCAGGGGTTCTTAGAGCCATCTTGGGCGTCTTGGAGGCCTCTTGGGCCGTTTTGGGGCTCTTTTGGGGGCCTTTTGGGCTGTCATGGGGCCATCTTGGAGGCCTCTTGGGCGATCTTAGGGGCTTATTGCGCCGTCTTGAGCCTTCGGAATCCCGAGGAGAAGCACATGCCAAAATCTGTCAAAAACCGGAATTAGGAACATCAATGATTTTGGCCTCTTCGGGCGCTCCTGGAGGACCTCTTGGAGGCCCCTTGGGCCGTTTTGGAGGCCTCTTGGGGGCCTCTTGGGCCGTCTTTGGCCATCTGGAGGCCATCTCAGGCCGTCTTGGGTGCATCTTGGGCCATGGGCCGTGTTGGAGGCATCTTGGGGCCATCTTAGCTGTCTTGGAGGACATCTTGGGCGTCTTGGAGGCCTCTTGGGCCGTCTTGGGGCCCTCTTGGGGCCGTCTTGGGGGCCTCTTGGGCCGTCTTGGCGGCCATCTTGGAGGCCTCGTGGGCGATCTTGGGGCGATCTTGGGGGCCTCTTGGGCCGTCTTGAGCCGTCGGAATGCCGAAAAGAAGCAAATGCCAACATCTGTCAAAACCCCATGGACAATCAATGATTTTGGCCTCTTCGGGCGCTCCTGGAAAACCTCTTGGTGGCCTCTTGGGCCGTCTTGGAGGCTTCTTGGGCGAACTTGGAGGTATCTTGGACCCTCTTGGGCCGTCTGGGAGCTCTTTGGGACAGGTCTGCGTTAGAGTCTCCCGCCTGAGCTTCTCTACCTCGTATTGGGTGGAATGTCGGCGCGGGGTCGGAGGCAGACTAATCCCAGGCTCCCATTTTTTCCGCCCCTGGCATGTGCGCTGGCATGTCGCCAGGTTGCAACTGAAAAGTGAAAACAGAAGAGGAGGAGAAGGAGGAGGAGGAGGAGGAGGAGGAGGAGGAAGAGGAGGAGGAGGAGGAGGAGGGGAAGGAGGACCAGTGTAAACCCAAGATTCATCAATGATGTTGGAATACGCCCTCCATCCAAGTTCCTTTCATAGGCCCGTACAAGGATTAAGCTCGGGTGGGAGACAATAGTCTGAAGAGCCTGGAGCGTGCCAGGACACCATGCTCTGGCCTTCCACGCCACGAATCAACCATATTGTTGCGTCTTGACAGTTCCAGAAGCGTGCTAGAATGCCACTCTTGGGATTTCAACACCGCGAATCAACTTACATGTTGCGCCCCGGCAATCTCGAACCGTTCCAAAACATTGTTGCTGATACATCAGCCATGGGAACTCGTGAAACTCATGCAAATTTTGGTCTAAGACGAATGTGCGGGGCGCCAAGGCGAGAGCCACATGTCGACAAGGAACTGCCCTCAATCCGTGATCGTCGTGAAATGTTTCCGACGCGTGTGCGCGGCGCTCGAGCGAGAGCCACATTTTGCAAACGGCCCGCCCCGGATCCGTGTTTTTTGTTTGTTTGTTTGCAAATATTGTGGTGGCCTCCGGTCAGTGCCGCCGATCCGGGGCGCTCTGGATAATGATGATGATGCTGCTGATGATGATGATGATGATTCTGATTCTGACTATGCTGATGATGATGATGGTGATGATGAAGATGATGGTGATGGTGATGGGGATGATGATGATGATGATGATGATGATGATGATGATGCTGATTGTGCTGTTGCTGATGATGATGATGGTGATGATGATGACGATGATGATGATTGACGATGACGATGATGATGATGATGATGATGATGATGATGATGATGATGATGCTGATTGTGCTGTTGCTGATGATGATGATGATGATGACGATGATGCTGATTGACGATGATGATTGATGATGATGATGATGATGATGATGATGATGATGATGATGATGATGATGATGATGATGATGATGATGATGATGATGATGATGATGATGATGATGATGATGATGATGATGATGATGATGATGATGATGATGATGATGATGATGATGATGATGATGATGATGATGCTGCTGATGATGATGATGATGATGATGATGATGATGATGATGATGATGATGATGATGATGCTGTTGTCGTTTATCATGATAATGGCCATGGGGCCATCTTGGGCGTCTTGGACCTATCGTGCGGTGATTCGGAGCTTTCTTGGGCCGTCTTAAGGGCCTCTTGGGGCCCTGTTGGCCCGTCTTGGGCTTCTCTTGGGCCCGAAAAAGGCATGCGAGAATATTCTGGGGGCCCCAGAGGGCTCGCGGGGAGCACCAAGAGATTTGAGAGCTTGGGGCCCGCGCCCACTAAGAATCCTCAGGCTTGAGGACTGAGGCTCAGGGGATTGAGCAAGGGACCTTGGGAAAAGCCTCTTGGGGGTCGTTTTGGGGCTTCTTGGGGCCTCTTTCGGGCCTCTTGGGGGCCTTCTGGGGCCTTTTGGGGGGCCTGTTGGGGCCGGGTCTTCCGTTCGGGCTCCCCCTCTTAGGCCTGTCCTGGGGCTGTCTTGGAGCCCACTTGGGCCGGCTTGGGCGCTTCTTGGGCCGTCGTAGCGCCCTCTTGGGTCGTTTCAGGGTCGTCTTGGGAGCCTCTTGAGCTGTCTGGACGCGGTCTCGGGGGCCTCTGGGACCGTCGGCAAGGTCGTGAAGGCCGAAATGTCGTGTAAGGTAAACATGTACGTTTTCCCATAGGAATTTGACGATTTTGACCTCGTGGGTCTCTCTGCGCAGGTGGTTGGATACCTGATGGGGCCTCTTGGAGACGTCTTGCAAGCACGACATGCGTCGGGAATGACGTTTAGAATGGCGTCGGCCCTCTCCCCCTCCATGGTCAGAGCGTCGGAACGGCGTCGGGGATGGTGTGGGCCCCCCCGCCCCCGAGCACTAAATGCGTCGGGAATGGCGTCGGGAATGGCGTCCCCCCCTCCCCCTTTAGTGGTGCGGGCCCCCCGCCCCCGAGCACTAAATGTGTCGGGAATGTCGTCGGGAATGGCGTCTCCCCCACCCTCCTTTGCAGAGCGAAGCTTCAGCGAGCTCAAGTCCACGCTCTCAGAAACTCACACGCCGGATCGGCGGATTTTAAAACGCGTGTGCAGGGCGCTAAACTGAGAGCCGCAGTTTGAAACAGAGCCGCCTTGAATCCGTGAAGCTCTTTCATGTTTGAGCGACAAATGTTCGCGGCGCTAAAGCGAGCGCCACTTGTTGAAAACGGCCCGCCTTCAATCTGTGGAACCCTGGCACATTTTCAAAAACAAGTGTGCGCGGCGCTAAGCGAGAGCCACACTTTGAAAAGGCACCGCCGTCAATCCGTGAAGCCGCTGCAGTTTTGAAGACAAATTTGCGTGTCGCTAGGGCGAGAGCCGCGCACTTTTGAAAGGGACCCGCCCTCCGTGTGTAAATTTGCTGTTTTAACTTCTACGCTTTAGGATCGGAAGTGGCGAGGAAGTCTCAGGCAAAACGCCTGGCCCGCCCTTCCGACTGGCGTCGGGGTGCGACAGGGAGGAGCTATGTAGAATGGACAATGAACGGAGTGGAGGAGGGCGAACAAAACGGCCAGAGGCCTCTTGGATGCCTTTGGGAGTCTCTTCGGATATCTCTTGAGAGCGTCTTGGAGTCCTCTAGTGGCGTCTTGGGGGCCTCTTGGCGGCCCAGGGGGCATCTTGGAGCGTCTTGAGTGCCTCGGGGGAGCCTCTTCGGACCTCTTGCGGGTCTCTTGAGAGCCTCTGGGGGGCCTCTTGGGGACATGGTGGGGCTTCCTGAGCGCTTCTTGGGACCTTTCGGGGCACTCTTGGAAGCCTTTGGGGCCCTCTCGGGGCCATCTTGGAAAAGTTCGCTTCAAGAAGGGGGTTCTCAATTAGCACTGCCCCCAGGAGTCCAAACTTGGCCCAAAACCTTGGGGACAATCAATGATTTGCGCCTTCTGGCCGATGCCCTCTTGGACGCTCCAACGATCCCCCCTCCAGACCCAGAGGAGGGTTTATGGGGAGGGGTCAGGCTATCCCAAGCCGCAATCCGTGTCGCTCACTCCTACCCGCCTTCCCAACACAGGCAGCATCTGAGCCTGAGCACCCGATGCCACTGATTTCATGAGTCCCGTCGCAAGCATATGGCAGATACTAGGAGCCCCCCCCGCCCGCCGTTCTTGTCAAACAACAGCGCGAAGTCATCGCGGGGCGCCCGCGCATGATCCAGATTTTGCCGCACATTTCGCTGTGTATCGTGTTTGTCAGGGATCGCGTGCCTGCACAACGCATGCGAGGGCATCCCGTCGCAGCCCCCTCTGTCAAGCACCAAGGCAACACGACTGCGGGGCGCCCCCCGCGCACGAACCAGCTTTTGCCACACAGTGTTCACGGGGAGGGTGGGTCTGCGCAGAGCGGACGTGTTGAGGGCACCACCGCCGCCCCTGCTAACAACCAGTGCGAAGTGCTCACGGGGCGCCCGCGCACAGTCAAGATTTTGCCGCAAAGTGCATGATTCACGCTTCGCGTATTCCCACCAGCCCCTTCGGAAGCCTTGCCCATGAGATTTGACGGGGAAATTGACGAAGAGACACATGTAGTAAAACAAGTCGGGCAACCAGGGTGAACCGAGAGATGCCTGGGAGCAATGGGGGTGGCCTTGGATGGCCTCTTCGGACCATCCTTGGGGCCCACGTCGGGGCGAGGGAAGAAGGAGAAGGAGGAGGAAGACGACGACGACCACCACTACCACCACCACAGCGACGAGGAATAGGAGGAACATGAACAGGAACACGATGAGGGCAATGACGTGGACGAGAAGGAGGATGAGGACAACGAGGACGAGGACAGAGCCTTCAAAATCGCCTCTTGGAGCCCTCCTGGACTCTTTTGGGTGATCTGGGGGCCCTCTTGGGGCTCTTTTTAGGAGTCTTGGGGCCCTCTTGGAGCCCCTTCGGGGGTCCGTTAGGAGCCCTGGAGGGCCTTTGAGGGAGAGGGGGGGTCCCAGATGTTCCTCCCTCCCTGGGGCCATGAACGTCGCTTCTTGGGGCACTCTTGATGCGCTCTTGGGAGCTGGGGGGCCTCTTGGGCCCCTCTTAGGCCTCTCGTGGGCCATCTTGAGGCCTCAAATCCGCATCGAAAGCAAAAAGGCGAGGAGTCAATGTCATTGACGTTCCTTAGCTTTGGAAGAGGAAACAATGAACTCGGTCGACCGCGGTAACCTAAAGAGCTGGGGGAATCTTGCATTGTGTTTTGACAGATGTGGTATGCTGGCGCAGAGCGGACAATATGAGGGCACCCCATGTCAAAAACTATTGCGAAGTGATCGCGGGGCGTCCGCGCGAGATCCAGATTTTTGTGTAATGTGTACTTGATGTTGTGCTATGTTGCAAGGGATTGTGGGGGTGGGGCCCTTATTGGTGCGGGTTCGTCGCCGGTCGGGGGGGGGAGGTGCGTATGTGAATAGGGTACAGTGATAACCCCCCTCCCCGAATGGGAAGAAGGGGGGAAGAGGAAGCTCCCTAAACCACCGCCCAGAGGGCTGCTGGGATTTGTATATTGGGCCATCTTGGACGCTCTAACTGCCGGCGAGGCTCCCCGTTCAGACCCGGGGGAGGTAGGGGGGAGTGGTATACCCCTCCCCGAGGGGAGGAAGGGAGTTGGAGTAGGAAGTGTTCTAAACCACTTGCGCCTGCGCCTTACAGAGCTGGTGGGATTTGTTTTCGTGTCCGCCCCTCTTTCCAGCCTGTCGATGGGAGAATGTGGGACAGCATTTGCGAGGCCAACGCCGTTGCATACAGTCAAGAAGTATGCACAAGGAAAGCACTTGGGCTCGGATAGGGATCGGAATCCTCGAGAGGGGCTGCGTTCTTCACGCGACGTCTCTTGTAGGAAGACTTAGATTATGAACATAATCATTAGATGCTAGTCTACGGACGTCCGAATTCTGTGCCTACATGGTCTTCTGGCCCCCTCTATGATCAGGTCTGTGCCCTGTTCGCGTGCGCTGGCTGCGAGAGCTTTGCCTTCTGGGTGTTCGGCCCAGAGCTCCTCAAGGGCGCCAGTGGTCAGGAGCCACCATACTGGATCTTCATAATGTATCTGAAAGCCTCGGGCTTGTCACTGCCGCCGCCAGTCGCCCTGGCAAAGCCTGCGTGGTTTACGCACGCAGAAGTTTGAGGCCTCTCGGGCTTCCTGGGGGCCTCTGCGGCCGCCTTGCCGAACGTATCGAGAAGTCCTTCTTTGTCCTCGAGCATGGATGGCGTGATGGCCCCGCTGGGCGGGCAGTGGACTCGGTCGTCAGTGCGGTCGCCACTCTTTTGGCCGCTGTGGTCATAGACTCTCTCGGGCGGAAGCCGCTGCTGATGCTGGGCAACTGGATTCTCCTTCTGGTTGTCGCGCTTCTTCTGTGTAGGCCCTCGCTGAGCATGGCGTGCGTCGCCTGGCTGCTGATGGGCGCCGCCAACGCCTTCGTGTGGGTCGTCATCCCGATCTACTCCAGCGAGATCTTCCCCACGCGGCTGCGCGGCACGGCGGGGGGCTTGGGCAATCTGTGTTGTTGCCTCGCGGGCGGCTTGTCCCCGCTGCTGGTGGGCGCGCTGCTGGGCAGGTCGTTCGTGCTGACTCTCGGCGTTGTCTCTGGCTCCATCGTCGCCGCCTGCTATTTGGCTGCGTTCCTCATGCGGGAGACCGTGCACGCGCGAGTTGCACGTTGATGGTCGCCCAGAAAGTTCGGGGTGCTGTATTGCCGCGGTCTCTGCCGTTCCGCTTTTCTCTGTCTTCCTCTATTCTCATCCATCCTCATCTTCTGTCCTCCTCCGCCGTCATCCATCCTCCCTCTCCTCCTCCTCGTCCGTGCTCCTCCTCCGTCCATCCTCATTCATCCTTTCTCTTCTCCATCCTCGTCCTCTTTCCCCGGCCTGCTCGTCCGTCCTCTTTTTTTTTTTGTTTTGTTTTTTTTTTTTCTCTCTCTCTCTCTCTCTCCCTCTCTCTTTATCTGTCATTTTCTCGTCCTACACCCTCCTCCTCCTCATCCGCATCCTTTTTGGCTTAAGATGATTCCACCCCAAAGGTGTCGAATTGACACCGCTGGGCCGCGGCAGGTCTCCGTCTTTCCCGCCACACTCACGGTCTTGTGGGCGCCCACTTCCATACTCCGCCTTCATATCCGTAAGGGCTTCGCCCCCTGCCGCCGGCCCCCTCTCTCGGACAATGGGCTATGCAAAAGCTAAATCATGAGGCCTCGGCGCCGCCGCGAAGCAGCATCCGCAAGAGAAATTGAGATTCTAATGATATTGTTCAACCCAGTGTTGTATTTTGAATCTGCCCCCGTATGCTGTGCACTGAGGTTTCCCACCGAATTTCGGACAGGTGGCAAATCCCATAAGTTTTTCGACCCTGACTTCGCCGATCTGCGTGAGGGGTGCCACCGAATTTCAGATATGTGGCAAATCCCACGGGTTTTTCGATCCTGACCCCGCCGATCTGCATGAGGGGCGCAACCGAATTTCAGACATGTGGCAAATCCTATGGGTTTTTCGACCCTGACTCCGCCGACCTGCGTGAGGGGTAACGTCGAATTTCCGAGCTGCGTGAGGGGTGCCACCGAATTTCAGAAATGTATCAAATCCCATGGGTTTTTCGACCCTGACTCCCTGCGTGAGGGGTAACGTCGAATTTCCGAGCTGCGTGAGGGGTGCCACCGAATTTCAGAAATGTGGCAAATCCCATGGTTTTTTCGACCCTGACCCCGCCGATCTACGTGAGGGGTGCCACCGAATTTCAGAAATGTGGCAAATCCCATGGGTTTTTCGACCCTGACTCCGCCGATCTGTGTGAGAGGCGCGGCCGAATTTGAGAAGTGTGGCAAATCCCATGTGTTTTTAGACGACCCTGCAGATCTGCGTGAGAGGTGCCACCGAATTTCAAACATGTGGCAAATCCCATGTGTTTTTGGACCCTGACCCCGCCGATCTGTATGAGAGGCGCCGCCGAATTTCAGAAATGTGGCATATCCCATGTGCTTCTAGACCCTGACCCTGGTTATCTGCATGAGAGGTGCCGCCGAATTTCAGAAATGTAGCAAATCCCATGGGTTGTTGGACCCTGAGCCCGCCTATCTGCGTAATTCGCCCCCCCCCAGAAATTCTGAGACCCCTCCCGGGAGGTGCTGACCAGACCGGTGTTTGGCTTCCCCCTTCGCGCAGTCTACAACAAGGAACATCAAGCAACAATAAACATACCTGTAACAGTGGAAGCTGGAAACTGGAACTCGCGCAGGGAACAGCAACCCCTCGTCCTACAGCCTGGTGGCCCCACACGGGGGCCAGCGGATTTCTGTGTACCGTGTCCCTCATATCCTGCGAAGTGTTCAGTCGCGCGGCTACAAGCTGTGAGCACTCGCCATGCCAGATGTTGACGACAAACAGAATTATTCTTGCGGCGAAGATGGCCAGCGTCCCGACCCTTGCTGCGATGCTGCTCCCAGGTTACACATTGAAGAGCCTCTTACTCCCCTCTGGCAACACAGCTCGATGAAACGTTTGTTGCGCAGGTCGAGATCGTTGCCGCAGAGTTCGAAACCATCGCAAACTCTGTCATTGAATCCGCCCGCTCATAGTTTCTCGTGTCCATCACGTCCATCGCCGCTGACTTCAACGCTAAACATGAGACCTCCAGGACACCAGAGTCATAACTTCCGCCACAGAATTGACCACCCGAGAACTACGAGAACCAGTCAAGAAGCTGCAGAAGATCGTAGAGGACGCTGAGACCCGCAGCCCACGCATCGACGTGGCAAACCATGGGACCTGGGACAGATCTACTGACCCATGCACCTGCTGTTGCGAATGCGCAACCCCTTTCGGCATCGACGATCTCAAAATGCGCTGGAATCGTGGTCCAAGGAGGCCCAAATCAACGGCCACCACATATCGTTCAGCACCTCCGGCATCAGCAAGCGCCACAGCTTCACCCTCACTGGAGGCACTACTTGCCGAATCGCGTGCACGGCGCTTGCGCAGAACACTGCGCGTCGGACGAGTTTGGCGTGACTTCACTATCTTTGTTGGTGGCGCTGCTCTTACTACGCTGCGCGTGTCGGCCGTCAAGAGCCCGCGAACAGTACGCCGAGAAGTCCAGCCGACCGCCTGGGTAATCTCATCGACCGACGCCTCGACCACTACACCCTCCCATCCGCAGGAGCCAGGGATGCATCCCTTGTCAGAACGAGTGTTTGGTTCAACTGTGCGTTGACAGTCTTCTTGATGAGCCGACTGCCATGTGGCGGACAGCTGTTGCAGTGTGACATGGCGTCGATGACAAGCATCAGAGCAACGCCCGCGCTGCCTTCGAGTCCAGCGTCTCCGACGCTCTGGCCACTGCGCAGTGGCTTCTGCCTTCCTTTGGCCCCATGGCAGAGCCCCCCCCCCTCGAGCCCGATATGAACGTTGCCTTCTGGCTTCCCGCGGAGTCCAGGATCGACGACGCCGAGAAAAACGCCGCCTGCTCCGACCTCCAGTTTCGCCAGCAGGCCCTGATCGCGCTGCTGGAGGCGCGGCGCGGCCATCCACGTGGACATCCTCGCGCGCTTCACGCGGCGCAAATATCTGGCCTCCTATTCCAACGCCGCGAACCCCACTTTGGCGGGTGGCATTAGCTTCCTCGTTCCTTTCGTCCAGGTCGAGCCATTCCGCCCGCCGGAAGCGCGACCGCTGCGGCCCTTCGCAGAGGTCGCTCCACGGCGAGCAGCATGGCTCAGCATTGCGGACGCCACCTTCGCCTGCGACGCCACTGCGTTGCACATCCAAAACCGCGAGCTGCCCCCGAGCGACAGTTGGGCGATGCGCCATCAATGGCGCCGGCTGCTTCATCATCTTGCTAAATGCCGTCTCAATCGCACCTTCACCATGCTGGGCGGCTTCAACATCTCCGATCGCGCCCCCAAGAGCGTCGAAACACCGGTCGGCTCGAACGCGATCGAGACCGCCCGCCGCTCCAGCGACGCATTGACATCCGCCCCCGCCGTCTCACAGCGCAGACGGGCAGTATCAGCGTGGGGGCTCGCGGCATGAATGCCCGCAGCATCGCCGGATCAGCTTGGCATCAGGACGTCAGTCTCGCGAAGAATCATTGACCGTCATCACCGTCGCCGATCGCCAGCGCGCCACGATTGATGGAGCCCGTGTTCCGTCGACAGACCTCAGCGTTTTCGCGCAGAAGGGGCGCTGAAGGCGTCCACTAGCTGCTCCGCGTAGCGCCCGACAGCTTTTCCAAATCCGACATCTACGGCGTGACCTCTTGGGCCTGCGTCGAGGCGCCCGGCGACGTCGAGCTGCTGCTTGCCGCCGCGCTCTGGAGAACCGCTACCGGGGCTGTCGCGGGATGGTGCGACTGGCGCAACTCGCGTCGCGACTTGGCCTGCGCCTGCCTCAGCATTGTCACCGTCGAAAGCGCACGGGGTTGGTGCTTGGATTCCCGTCGTTCTCCCCGAAGAACGCGGCGCCGTCAACGAGCGCGACTGACGCGCCAGGTGCGTGGAGATAGTCTGCCGCGTGCTTCTCCTCGACCTGTTCCAGCCGCTGTTCCGCGCGCGGGCCCAGCGGCGTCGCCTCGCCGCCGAGATCCGCGAGAACGCTTGGGCCATCTCCAACATGGCGCGCAGCCGCCTGGAACCCGCGCTCCTCGGCTGCGTGGGCAGCGACTCCGAGCGCGTTCGCCGTCGGGGAGCGCGGCGCCGCTTCGCCGCCGCTGGGCCTCGGGCCCGCCTCCGCTGGGTTCGCAGCCAGCGCGACCTCTGCCCGGCCGAGTCCGACCTGCAGCCCGCCCACGGCGACGGCGAACGCGACGAAGACGCAGTGCCGGACGAGCCAGTCGAGGGCCAGATGCGCGAGCTCTTCGCGGATCTTGCCGGGCGCTGGAGTCGCATCAGCAAGTTCCTGGCGGCCCAGCCTCCATCGAGGACATGGGCTTCCTCAAATCCCCCCCTCGCGCCCTCGCGACTCGCGGCGGGCGCGTGGGCGACTTCGGACTGCGCGCGCGTGCGCCCGCAGGAACGCCAGTGCATATGTGGGCGCGTCTGCCCAGACTCCGTACTGCTCTCGCTCCAGTGCCCGAAGATGATTCGCATTATCGCGTGCCCCTGCGGCCGGCTGAGCGAGAGCGCCCTTGCGCGCGCGGGCCCCCCCGTCCGCGAGACGACCTACGACGGCGAGGACGGGGTCGCCAGCGCGGCCATCCACGTGGACATCGCCACCCACATGTACCACCTCATGAAGGACTTCATCATCGCGGACCTGAGCGCGCTCTACAGCGCCACAGCCGCCGCCCGCAGCGCACTCCGCCCCCCCCCGCTGCCCTGGGCGTCGGCTTGGCCCGCGCGCCGCAGCGTGGCTAGCCTGGCAGACGAACGTGGCCGCCAGCGGCGTTCGCTCCTCCTCCTCCTCCTCCTCCTCCGCCTCCTCCTCCTCCTCCTCCTCCTCCTCCTCCTCCTCTTCCTCCTCCTCAAGTGCACTTTTTCCGTCGTCCTCCGTCTTCTCGCCCTCTGTCCGCGTTTCCCTCCTGCCCATGCTGTTCCGTCTCCTCTCGCGTCTCCTCCCAGTCCGTCATGGTCCCTCCTCCTTCTTTCACTCCTTGTTCCTGATCGCTCGTTATCGTTAATTCTTTCATCGCTGCCCCCGATTCTGCCAACTGCTGCATCCTTCCCTCGCCCCCTCATCCCCTCTCTTTCTACCTTCCTCTTCCTCCCTCTTCCTGCCGCCTGCTTGCTTCATTGCAGTGCATTATCTTGCTCCTCATCGCCTTCCTCCTCCTTTTTGATCCTGCTGGTTCCCCTGCTGCTATCATTCCTCATGTTCCTACACATGCCAGCTTGCGATTATGAAACACACTCAGGCGCGACGCAAATGGCTCCGTCACTGCGGAGGATTTGGGCCGCCGTGGTCAAAGGAGGATGGGGGATGCAAGTATAGGAGCTCTTGCCGCCGGTGCCGCCGCTCCCTCCCCGCTGCAGCCGCCGCTGGCGCACCGATAGAGACCTTGCAACAGTTTTTGCGCAGTCGGAGACCCCCCCCCGCTTGCTGGTCATAGCGCGGACGCTCGCCCGTGTTCCGCTCTGACGCGACGCGAGGTTCGTACTGGTCCATGATGGGGACACGTGCCATTTCCCGAGCGAGTGATTGAAACACATGTTCGCAGCCCGCGGGGCGTTCTACTTTCTACCTGCATGGCGAGGGGGGCGTCACTTATCATCTCGTATACTACAAGCTGACATCCACTGCTCTTCCACCTTTAGTTCCTCCCCATCGGCGGGCCGTCTGGATATTTTTGAAACACATTTGGGCTTTCTGTACCTTTGCAGGCTCGGATCCATTGCTTTACGCCAAAAAAGTGCCAATGGGGGAGGGGGGCAAGGAGAGGCGCAGGATGAGGAGGAGGGATGGGGCAGAGCATCAGCAAAAAGGAGGACGAACGACAGGGAGGCGTAGGGATGGTGATGTAAGACAGGGGAAAATCAGCAGCAATTGCGGCTCAAGCTGCCGATTGTTGAATAGGATAACGATTCCCAGTCTTCCCATTTGCGATGGGTGAGTGACATGTTTGTTTGTTGCGTCAGATTCCGCATGCGCAAGCGTTACTCGGAGCCATCCTGGGTGCCCGACGGGGAGGCGCATTGGCAAGCGAGCAGCGGTCGTGCGGGGAGCTTGTTTTGGTGTCGTCGTGGACCTTGCCGCAGTGGTTGGCGCTTTTCCGCCCGTTGAACCGTCGGACGACATGGCAGTTCACATCCAGCTTCACGGGGAGGCAGCCGCACGCATATTCAAGTCAGTATTGGCGGTGAGATCAAGCCGCGAACATCACCCAAGGCAAAGGTCTGCTTCATGCTCTTGGTCGTGATGTGGGGGCAGCTTGTACCCAAGGGCCCAGGGATTACGTCTGAGACGCTTGGGCAACATATGTACTGTTGAGGGCTGTGAGCGTCCCAAGCCTTGCTTTGCGATGGAAGCCTCAGGGATGACAGAACACGTATTGCCTGGCTCCAGGTCATTGACGCTTCGCGTTTCCCCACCAGCCCATCCAGAAACGTCCCACCCTTCCCCCCTGCGCCAGTGGAGGGCTTGCAAGGGGTCCGGAACCTCCCCTCCTCGTTTCTGGTGGGAGGAGGGGTTGGGCGAGGACGGGGAGAGCTGTTTTGGAGACCCCTTCAGGGTGGATTTTCCAAGGCAAGCGAAATTGACATGCGCTCTCTCTCTCTCTCTCTTTCTCTCTTTCTGTCTGTTTGTTTCTCGATTCCTCTCCTTTCGCGGGCTGCACGTCCAGAGAAGGTGAAGACTGGGCCTCGGGTGGTTCGCCCTGCTCGTTTGCTGCGCTGGTCTGCCTTGTCGTTCTGCCCGCCCTGGGGCGTTGCCAGCGCCACGGGGTTCGGATGCGCCCCCCATTTCAGCTCTGGGGCGAGTGTGCGAATGTGCGGCATGAGCTGACGACCAGGCGCCATACTGCAAGGACGCGGGAGAAGACAAGGGCAAAGTCAAAGGCAACGACTTCGGTACCCATAAAGCGCCTGCCCTTGAAGATCCTTGGCCTGGCTCTTACGACGATGTGCACCGCGCGATGGGCGTGCCGTAGAGCTTCTTTCGCTCGTAGATTGTGGGCAGGGTCAAACATCATCCTTTGTTTGGGTCTGCCTTCGGGCCCTCGTCATTACGGTAGTCATCACCACCCCCTGGCCCTCGTCGGTGCTCTGGCGTGGCTCTCGCTGCAGTGGCGGAGGCCCGTTGTGCTGCCAGCGGCCCGGCCGACATGGCGCGGGGCTCTGCCGGCGCGGCGTTTTCTGGCTAGCTCGGTCGGTTCCTGATCTTGCGCCATCGCCATCGTCGTCTGTCGTTCGTCCTGGGCGTCGTCTGCTCTTCCCGCGTCCTCGGATTGTTTTCACTTAGATGAGCTGCTGGATGCACCGCCGTGGAATCCGAAATCCTTCTCCCTGCTCCTTGTGCTCCTCGCCCCTCCACGCGTCGCAGCCGCTGGGGCTCCCTTCTCCTGCATCTCGCCTCCTCGCCCTTCTGCTGCTGTTCCTCCTTTTTCCTGGCCTTCGACCTCGCCTTGACACCGCCCAGACCTCCCGCGGACATGGCGAGTGCGAGTAGGAGGGGGAGCAGGAGGAAGAGGAGGGAAAACATGATGAGAGGAGGAGGAGGAGGAGGAGGAGGAGGAGGAGGAGGAAGAGGAGGAGGAGGAGGAGGAGGTTCCGGCGGCGTCCCAGGGTCTATCGTGGCCTTCCCATCAGCAAGAGCAGTAAGAGGTGCACAGCAGCACGAGGATGACTAGCATAGTGAGAAGCACCGTAATGAATTTGGGTCAAGCCATCGGCACAGGTGGCTGCCCTCCCTGGAGCGGTATCCATTCTCCCATCCTTCCTCGTCTTCGTCCTCGTCTCGTCCTCGTCATTTTTTTTTCTCTTCCACGCGGGCTTCTGCTCCTGATCCTCGTCCTCCTGCTCCCTCTTGTCCTCGTCGTCGTCACCCTGCTCCTCGCTTTCCCTATTCCTTCTCTTTCCCCTCTTTCGACGTCCCTTCTCCTCCTCCTCCTCCTCATCATAATCGACATCATCATCACCATCATCATCACCATCATCGTCATCGTCACCATCATCACCATCATCATCATCATCATCATCATCATCATCATCATCATCATCATCATCATCATCCTAATCATCATCATCACCACCACCATCATCATCATCATCATCATCATCATCATCCTCATCCTCATCGTCACCACCATCATCATCATACGGTCATCATCGTCATCGTTATCATACCCATACTCATAATCATCACCAGCATCATCATCAGCGGCATCAGCATCAGCATCATCATCATCAGCACCACCATCATCACCATCATCATCCCCATCATTATCATCATCAGTATCATCACCATCGCCACCACCATCATCATCACCATCACCATCGACATCACCATCACCATCATCACCATCACCACCACCATCATTATTATCATCATATTCACCATCATCGTTATCATCATCATCACCATTATCACCACCATCATCATCCTGATCATCATCATCAGCATCATCATCTTCATCGACACCACCATCATCATCATCACATCGGCATCACCATCGTCATCGTCATCATACCCATACTCATAATCGTCACCAGCATCAGCATCATCATCATCAGCAGCATCAGCATCAGCATCAGCATCAGCATCAGCATCAGCATCAGCATCAGCATCAGCATCAGCATCAGCGTCATCATCAGCATCACCACCATCATCTCCACCACCATCATCACCACCATCATCACCATCACCATCACCATTAACATTATCGTTATCATCATCATCATCATCATCATCATCATCATCATCATCATCATCAGCAGCAGCAGCAGCAGCAGCAGCAGCAGCAGCAGCATCATCATCATCATCATCATCATCATCATCATCATCATCATCATCCCTCTTCTTTCCTCCTCCGTCCTACGTCTTACCCCCCTGCTTCCTCCCGTCCTCCTCCCTGCTCCTGCTGCCTGCTCCTCCCTCTCTCCCTCCTTGCTTCACTTCCCGTATCCCTTCCATCATTCTTCAGCTCTTGCTGCTGCTGCTTCCGCTGCCGCCTCGTCTTCCTCCCTCCCTCGGGCCCCATGCTCCGCGCCTCCCTGGCCAGCGCCGCGTTCCCCTGCGGCGGCCGGCGGGCGCTGGGGGCCCGCAGCAGGGCCGCGCTCCCGCCCACCGAGGCGCCGCCGGACGTCGGTGTCCCCGCCCGCCGATTCGGCAGCAGCGGCAGCGGCAGCGGCAGCGGCAATGGAGGGCGCCGCGACTCTGGCGAGCAAGCCGTGCTCAGCGAATGGGGCGCCTGGGGCATGGGGGAGAACACAGCTGCTCAGGCCCAGGAGGCAGCTGGGGGCCCTGAGCACACGCGCGGCGCGCGGGGTTTCCCGCTGCACGCTGGGCCGGAGCCGACTGCGAGGGAGGTGGTTGAGGCCCTCAACATCGCCGATGTTGAGTCCTACCCTCGCTTCCAGAAGCCCTTCTCAGACCGGCTGAGGATCGACGTCAAGGCCGGCAACGGAGGCAACCCGGCCCCTATGGCGGTGCGGTCGCCTTCGATAAAGGGCCCTGGATATGCTGGAAATGGTGGCTCCGTATTCTTGAAGGCGTCACGACAGATCGAGAGTTTTATCGATATCAAGCAGAGCATTCGGGCGCAAGACGGCGAAGACGGTCACGGCACGCACCGCGGCAAGCATTCTGACGACCTCTGCGTGCAGGTGCCTGTCGGCACAATCGTGCGCGAGCGGGTGTATTCTGGGTACCGCACTGTTGAAGGCCGCCGCATATTCTTGCCGCAGTTCCGCTACCAGCTGATCAGACACGACGACACCTTCCTGGTGGCGCAGGGCGGCACAGGCGGGCTGGGGCCTCACAGCTTCAAGAAGGGCGACGGCCGCAGGGGGACGCCCGGAGAGCGGAAGCGGCTGGAGCTTGAGCTACGGCTCCTCAACGATTGCGCCTTCGTGGGCTTGCCCAACGCGGGCAAGACGGCCCTGCTTGCCGCCCTCAGCCGCGCCCACACGCGCATCGGCCCCGAGGAGTTCAGCACCACCAGGCCTCACGTAGGCACCATCCTGTTCCGCGACCGGCTCGAGATTCGCCTCTGCGACTTGCCCGGACTAAAACCTGGCGCCCACGCGGACAAGCTAATGGGCCGGCGGATATTGCGGCACACGTACCGCTCTCGCGCATTAGCCTTGATCGTGGACGTTGCCCGGGGAGAGCGTCCAGAGACCGACGTGCTGGAGGAAGTGAAGATGCTGCACGAGGAGGCCTGTCTATTCGACCCGCTGAACCGGGAGAAGCCGTGGATGGTTGTCGGAACCAAGTGTGATGCCCTGCACAAGGATCCGTTGTTCCATCTCGACAGCCTGCACTTTCGGCTCCGGGCGCACTACGGAGTAGAGGTGCCGGTCGTGGGCTGCTCCGCGAGGTTCGGCCTCGGCCTCACCCGGGTGGTGCAGACCATCAGGCGGCTGATCTACCCCGACCAGCCTGACGTGGTCAACAGGGTGCCAGCGCAGCCCTACGTGGTCTCCGGGAGAGAGAAAGTATCCATGACCACGAAGCGTTCAATTTTCAGATTTCAGTGTGGATGTCAGCTCCCGACCAGGCAAAGATCTGGGCTCAAGAGGCCTGCGGAGTCTGGATGGTGGTGGATACCTTCTTTCTCCTCAGGCCCGCCCCCCGGGCGTTCTGCACGGCCCGCTCCAGGATGCGCCGGCGCTGCCGCCGCCGCCCCTGGACACCCTGAGGCTTGCCGCTCGCTGAGCTTCGGCGGCCGTCGGAGAAAAGGTGCCGCGGGTCGCGCGCAGGAGGGAGGGGGGAAAGGTGCCCGCACGGTGGTGGCGAAGGTTTGGACGAGCCCCCCTCCCCCTCGACTCCGTCCCTTCAATTCAATTCCCCCCCTCCCCTCCCCAGAGCCAGAGCCCCAGAGCAAGAATACGCCTCTGTGATCCAGTTCGCTCGCAGAGGCGGAGAGCGGAAGAAGGCGTCGGCTGGGTGGTGCCAAGAATGGCCGTTCGTCGGTATGCTCACAAAAAGTGCCGCCGCAGTCAGTTGTCCGACACAGCATCTTGCAGACCGCCGGAGAGGAGGAGGAGAAGGAGAAGGAGGAGGAGGAGGAAAAGGGTGGAGATGGAGACGGAAACGGAGAAGGACGAAGAACACGAGAGGAGGCCGGAGGCCTTCGCGCATGATTCGTCGATCATACTGGCGGTTGGCTTCACAGTCTGATCTCCGATCACGTGTGATCTCCGTGCGTTAGGAAGAACTCAGGCCGAGAGGCTCGCATCAAGAGAGGATCGTCCTGCTCAGGATCTGAACTCTCAAATTTCCTTCCCCAACATCGTCCTCCCTTCCCCTCCCCTTCCCTCCCACCTCCCCCTCCATCCCCTCCCTCGACCATCCTTCGCCCGCCCTCCCATCTCCTTCCTCTTCCCTGTCATTTCCCTTCTCACATCCCCTCCGTTCCCCCTCTCCCCATCCAACCACTTGAACGGTACCCAATCCTGCCTGACGGTTGCGGTTTAACCTCGGAGAGGGGGGGGGCCGGGGTTAGGGGAGGGGGGGGTTTTGCCGGGGGAAGGGGGGGGGTCCAGCAGTTAGAATTCTGATGTAAGATAGGCTTCTCGACCGGCTCCCTTTAAAGAGCCCCTTCGGAGCCCCAGACTGCTAGTCCCAAAGTTAGGCTTCTAGGCTACGCTCTTGCTTGCCTGCTGCTTTGCTACTGTTTTGTAACCGTTTGGCTTAGAGGAAAAGATTATCTTCGACTTCTTAACTGAATTCAAATATTCACTGCTATTTGATTATCATCAATATCTTGCTTCTTGGATACGATGCTCATCGATATTCTTACGGAGGCTCCCTCCACGGACCGCACGCTCACGCGCGCGCACTTGTCAGGCTTGTGCAACAGACATATTGGTTTCATATCTACATCGGGACCACAGCTACCACAATGAACTGGATTGGTATTCAGATCTACATCATATACCTCAAGTTTACGGATTGGTTTCGAGAGTTCTATCAGTATCAATTGCAGTACCTATATTTCAAAATGCAGCAGACGACAGCAAACTCTCAGCTGGGTCTTCGCCGATACACGAAGGACGTGCCCCCAGGATGGCGGCCGAGGACCTACCCGATCAAGGAGTACAAAAAATTTCTTGCTATTTGGGGCAAATTGGCCAAGCTGGATCAGGAACAGATTGGACCCGCGATCATGTCAAGACTCGAAGGAGAAACGCTAAGGATTGCCATCGGTTTGACCATTCAGAGGCCAGACCCCAACACGATGCAGCAGACGACGTACGAGGGTATCGAAGCAGTTTCACTCGATGCTCAAGAAGCCATCAACGATCCCAACAATGGACAGCAACTGGCGCCTCCTCACCCTTCTGGAGTCAAGATGTTGATTGCGCAGTTGACGGAAGTCTGTTACCTGGATGATTAGGACCTTGCCTGGACCAGCCTCGACATATTCTTTTGTTTTGTGAAGCCCTACGACATGGACTTGTCTACCTATGTTGTTGAATGGGAGCGAGTCTACTCGGAGGCTGAGAAGCGCGGAGGCCTCGCCATCGGCGACAGCGGCAAGGCTTGGTTGTTCTTCAGTAATTGAGGGATTCCAGAACGCCAACTCGCAGATTCGACTCAAGGGCGGCGGCGACCTCGCGCGTTATCGCGAGATGATCGCTCTTCAGATGAAGATCTCCAAGAATGAGTCAGCCAGCTACGACCCGTCCCATCGATGCAAGCAGTACAACGCCAGGACCCGTGAGGAAGAGTACTACGAGGACGATTTGAATGACGAGGATTGCTGGAACGAGGACGATAACTGGCATGATTATATGATTCTGGTCGAGACTGGACGGAGGAAGAGTAATCTGATGATCAAGAAGACGAAGATTGGCAAGCGGAGTACCCTGGCGAATACGGAGAGGACTACGGCGACTACTACGGCGGAAAAAACAAGAAGTCTGGAGGCAAGTTTCGGCGAGGATAAGGACGCGGAGAACGGGCGCGCAACGGACGCGGTGACAATGGGCGAGGGCAGCGATCTAGCGGAGATCAATGTACGGAGTGCGGCAGCAAGTTGCATTCGACTGAACAGTGTCCGATGAGGTTCAACTCAGGACCGGCAGGAACTGCGTCACGAGGAGAACGGCATCATGCAGACCGCGAGAGACCTCAGGAAGATGAAGAGTATTAGAATTGCCAGGGCTCATGGATGCCCTCGCTCAGAGGCTCTCGAAAAGGATATGATCGCAGACCACAGGCACCCCGGTAGCAACATGGACGCGGAAAAGGACAAAGTTCGATGGGCTGCAGTGATTTTGGAGGGTTCTCTTTCAAAGGCAAGAGCATGCGACCTTCCCGACCGCGAGCGCACGAGATGAAGTTCGACAAGATCACGAGAGCTCATCTGGCTTTTTTCCTACTTCAGATCCGGAAGGATATCATTTCAAGAAGCGAGGGAAACCCAAGGCCGGAAAAGCGTACCAGCTGATATTTGGACCAGATCTTCTTGGAAAACGACACCAGCGACAGCGCAGGCGACGACGTCAACGGGCTCATCATCATCAGCAGGGGCGGCAAGGATGCGCCACCCCAGGATTACGCGACCCTCTCTGCGTTCCTTTGACGGCCGCGAGTTGGGATGCGCCAAGGATATGTCATGCCTGTTGGAAGACCTCCACGTCGACATGTGCTACGTGTCAGAGACATTGCTGTTCGGATCATTCCTTTCTCAACTCAGCGAACGGCAAGATCCTGCGCTTCGATTGCGCTGTCGGCCGCGTCAAGGGCGCGACGGACATCGAGGATGCTTCCAATGGGGGGCTTTCGTCCACATCGAGGCCTGCGCTGAGCAGGACACCATCGTCCTGGATGAAGATTGGCTCGATTCCGGAAGCGACCTGCGAGGGTGGCGGCGATGGGGAAGTCAAGGAGGTCCATCTCGCAGAAGCACCTCGTGAACGCGGAAGTTTCATCGCCAAGGACATGGTATTTCACAGTGAGCGGTTCCACAATTTCACTGTGATAAAAGGCCCCAAGACGCGTGGATTGCCGATGCGTCCTGGAGCTTCAAGAGGACTGATTGGCACGGGCACGCTCGCGGACATCGTCGCTCACATCCTCAGGCCGAGGCGCCTTGAGAAGCTTGTGAAGTGGAAGCCCAGCACCAACGAGCTCACAGGCATCGCAGCAGATCCACAGAAACCATTATTATTGGCTAGTTTTCCTATCGAATTGCAAGGCATCAAGAACGCGACGTTCGCGGCAGACGTTATCGGGGGAACGTCATCCGGGTGCCCGGGCTCGATTCCGCTGGTGAGCTCGCCCAACGCCGGATGCATTATATGTTGCGGATACTTCTCCAACAACGATGGTTTGCTCAGTGCCGGGGCGACGGGCGGCTCGATGTGTGTTCAGAGATTGTTATTGACGGTTTCAGTGCGCCATTTTGTTGCCGATCGACCAGTTGAACAAACCCCGCGATTGGAAGCAGCACCGACTCGTGAATAACGAAAAGCAACAGCTTCGGCGCGCGGCGCAGCGACAACTGCCGCCATCCATCACTACGGACTTCTACTCCTGCCATTAGTATTATCAGAATACCCGCGTGCGGCATTCGTGGCAGGACTCTACACGGAACAATATGATGAAGATACGGCACCGAAGCCGACGCTTTTTCAATAAGTCTTGAACACGACGAGAAACTGTTTGGCCACGAGCTGTACTCAATTGCAAATACTACTGTTCAGCGATATCTTCATGCATGGATTACTGTTTCGGCGCCGCGCTGGACTGGTACGCCTGCGCTTCCGTCATCTCTTTCTCCTGACGGTTCCACGAGTTGAACAGTGAGTTCAAGGCCATTCCGGAGATGTTCTACACCACTCTCAAGGACCTACCCGTCATCACTTCTTCCTGTTTGTTCACGGAACTACTCTCCGGAAGCTGTGGTGACATATTCCCACGCGTTTCATTATGGACTTGGTGTTCAGGATCTTCCAGACTCATTTGAATCATGCTCTCTACCCCTTCGACCAACTCGTTCTCTTTCTTCCGTGTGGACCTGCGCTACGACTGGGATCTACGCTTACCTGAACATCAACAACTTCTACAGACAGCCGATCAGCATTTTCTCAAATGGTGACTACGTATGAACCAATGATGCAAGTACTGGAACCGAATGGGCAGGGGCAGAAATCCAAAAGTGACTGCTGAAAAGAGACAACAGGAAACGGGCATGCTACAGTTCATCCTGCAGAGCGCCTGCGACACAGCGCAACAAGAACGACGCGGAATACCCGAGAATCCGAAGGCTTCAGCTACATTGCGGTGGGAAACAGGGGCTGGTATTTCAGAGCCAGCCGATAATACGATAATATGATAAGACGAAATAAGACAATAGTACGATACTACGATAATACGATGAGACGATATAGGGTCTCGCCAGACGATGAGACGGTAAGGCGATAAGACGATGCGGGGCTTGACCAGGCGATATGGCGACACGAAGACAAGGGCCATTTTTTAGCGTCTTATCTCTTATCGTCTTATCGTCTTATCGTCTGGTGGAGCCCCTCTCGTCTTATCGTCTCATCCACTTCTCGCCTTCTCGTCGGGAGCTGATCTGGAGGTGGCTTTGGGGCATGGGCGCAGGATGCATGGTGACCCCCCGCGCGGAAGCTGACAACACATTCTCTCGGGGTCTCTTCAGTCTCTCTTGTGTTTTTATGGGGGTTTTCTAAGAGGGCCCGGAATGTAAGACAAACTTGGCACATTTCCAAGAAGGAGGCGGTTTGTCTTACATGTGCGTTGAATGATTGGCCCCTCGTTGGAGACCTCTTAGGGCCCGCAGATGGCTCCAAGAGGGCGAGGGCCCCAGGAGGGCCCAAAGATGGCTCCAAGGCGACACAATTTTTCAACACAGATTTAGCACAACACGCTCTCCTATAAGGAGGCGGTTTGTGTTACATGTGTATTGAATTCCTGGCTCTTTCGGAAGCCTCTCAAGGGCCGTCAGAGGGCTCCCGCAGGGCCCCAATAGGCCCAGGAGGCCCCCGCGAGGGCCCCAATATGGTTCCAAGAGGGCCCGAAATTATACACAGCACCAGCACCAGCACCAGCACCACGGGCAGCCCAGGCAGCACCAGCAGCATCGACGCCAGCAAGAACAGCAACATCAGTAGCAACAGCAACGAGGGAGGCAGCAACGGACATATGATTCCAAGATGGATCCAGCAGGGTTTTAAGAGGATCGCGAGATTACCCTTGTCGCCCCAAGATGCCCACCCCTGCCGAGCAACGGCCCCATTATGACCCCAGAGCGACCTTGCGGCCCCAAGAGACGAACCCATTGTTTTCCGACTGAACTAAAGCCACCGCGTGACCCCTATGTTAGGTGGCCCTGGGGCGACCCCATGAGCCCATTACGACTTCGATATTGCCCCAACGTGACCCCTTTCAAACCCTAGTTGACGACCCCGAGATTGTGTCAATATGGCTCCAATGTGACCCCGATGCGTTTATGTTTTCTGCCTTTGCTTTTGGCTTAGGCCGATAGGACGGATGGGTGTGCTGGCCCTCCGCCCCCTTGTTGTCGTTTTCTTCCTCCTCCCCCTCGTCCTGGTCGCCCTCGCCGTCGTCGTCGTCGTCGCTGTCCGCCTGGTCCCGTGGCCCCATACAGAGTAAACAACCGAATCCCGAACACAAGCCGAATCTATCCATTTTCTGATATTGTTCAAACGAACGCGCGCGGCGCTAAGGCGAGAGCCACATTTTGAAAAGGAACCGCCCTCAATCCGTGAAGCTCTTGCAGTTTTTTAGAACGAGTGTGCGCGGAACTAAGGCGAGAGTCACATTTTGAAAACGCCTTGCCGTCATTCCGTGAAACTCTTGCATTTGTCACTCAGAATGTGCGCGGCGCAGAGGCGAGAGCGACATTCTGAAAACCGCCCGCCCCAAATCCGTGAAACTCTTGCAAATGTTTAAATCGAATGTGCGCGGCGCTCAGGCGAGAGCCGTATTTTGGAAACGACCCGCCCTCCATCTGTGAAGCTGTCACAAAGTGTGAGGAAGTCTCAGGCGAAACGCCCGGCCCGCCCTAAAAACGGGCCTCGGGGTGCGACAGGGAAAAGGCATTTTTAATGACAAGGAATGGAGGAGGAGGAGGAGGAGGAGGAGGAGGAGGAGGAGGAGGAGGAGGAGGGGGGGAGGAGGAGTTCCTTCGGGGGTTTCGAGTGGAAAAGTTCTGGAAGCATGTATGCCAGCCATGTCGTTCAGAAGGAGCGCATTTTCGGATGTGCAACTTGTTGGGAGGAGCTCATGGCTTGTGCCATAGTGAAGCGCTGTCTGGAGCCTTTTGTGGGACGTTGTCGGTAGCTTTCTGTGGCCCTCCCGGGCCGTCCCAGGGTCAATCCTGGACTTCGTTGGGGGGCTCATGGGTTGCTGGGGCTCTTCGGGGTCGGTCGTTCCAGAAGTCCTTGGGTGTCGTTGCTGGGGGGCCGTTCTAAGGGGGTCCTCGGTGCTTTTCGGCAGGGCTTCTCGAGGGCTTCTTGGAGCTGTGAAAGTTCGTGAGCGAATGGTCTCGAGTCTCTATTATGGCGTTCTGTAGCTTTTTTGAGCATTGTTTTCGCTTGGGGCAGTCTGTGGATAATTCCCACGGTCCAGCCGCATATTGGGGACAAGATGCGTGGTTCGTGGGGCCACCGAGGCTGAATCAGAGACTTCCTGTGCATTCGGGGCGCTGGGAGAGCTGTGCCAGGGTGCACTGCACATTCAATGCGAAACTCAGCGCCTTGCGCCGAGTGGCGGGCGTCTCATGCAACGACTGCGCACAGGCGCGGGCCGCAGCGGTGGGCAAGTGCATCATACGGTACGTTGTCAAGAACAGGAGTGGCGGGACCTCCCCCCTCAACAAGTAGTCATCGTTGGTTCTATCACAGCTGCACGTCAGCAGGGGGCTCCGTGCGTTCCAGCCAGGCTTACAGCTCGAAGCACGCATGTGACACATACATACGATATATGCACACATCTTGTGTTTGCCAGCGTGGATCCCACGCAGTGGGTTCTTGCACTGTGGAGGTGGAAGTTATGCAGTGCAAGTGGTGAAAGCGATGTCGTGTACGCTATGTGTTGTGAGCTACTGCGGTGTAAGCTATGCGGTGTAAGCTATGTGGCGAAAGCTATGTCGTGTAAGCTGTGTGGTGTGAGCTATGGAGGTGAACACTTTGCGGCGTCAGCTATTTGACAAAGTTATGTCGTGTAAGCCACGTGGTGTGAGATATGGAGGTGACAACTCTGTGGTGCAAGCTGTGTGCTGCAAGCTGTGCCATGCAAGCCATGCGGCGTGAGCTCGAGGCGAACGCTGCGGGGCGTGAGCCACGTGATGCCCGCTGTGTTGGATGAGATCTGCCGCGTAAACAGTGTGGTGCAAGCCGTGCGGTGTACGCTTCGTGGTGAGAGCGACGTCGTGCAAGCTCAGAGCACGGGGCGCCTACGAGGCCGCCCGCGCGGCGGCACGGGCGGCAACGTGGCGCAATCTCGGGAAACCCGCCCGGCGCACGGTGCGCCCACGCGGCGCCCGCGAGGCGGCACGGGCGGCAGCGCGGCGCAACCTCGGCATACCCCCTGGGCGCGGGACGCGCACGAGGCGGCACGGGCGGCGACGTGGCAAACATCCAGAATACCCAACCAAGTAGTTCACCAAGGAGGCACTGCCTGGGGAATCTGTGTCTGCATCACAGTACGTGTGTGAGCGGTGCCTGGTGGCACGAACGCCGCCTCTCTTCCCAGGGGGTTCGAGCTGGCCGCGCCAGGGGCCGCCGACGACAAGAACCCCTCCCCTCCACTTTCAGGAGGGTTTCGTGCCCAGTGCATCGGGGCGCGCACCGGGTGCCGCACATGCACACGCACACGCACACGCACGCGCACACGCACACGCACACGCACGCGCACACACACGCGCACACGCACGCGCACACACACACGCACACGCACGCGCACACGCACACGCACACGCACACGCACACGCACACGCACACACACAACACAACACAACACAGCACAGCACAGCACAGCACAGCACAGCACAGCACAGCACAGCACAGCACAGCACAGCACAGCACAGCACAGCACAGCACAGCACAAGCACAAGCAAAAGCACAAGCACAAGCACAAACACAAACACAAACACAAACACACACACACACTCGCCACGTATCGCGACCTCCTCTCTCTTCGGACCCCCGCCAATGCTGTGGGCCTAGTTCGTCCAGGCGAGGGGGCGTCGCCCGTGTTGTCCAGGGGGTGCGGAAAACGCTGCGTCAGAACTTGCACCCTCTGACTGGCAAATTTCATGGGTGGCTGGCAGGTTCATCCCCTTGCTCACGTCCTCGATGCGCGCCGAGGGTCTGCAAGCGGTCCGAACCCCCGCCCAAGGAGCATCTCCTGCACCTGCCCTCAGCCCTGATTTGTTTTGGCTCGAGGGGCGCCCCCGCGGCGCGAGCGCCATCGACCCTGCGGGTCCCGCAGACCTGCGGACGATGCCGCGCAGGAAGGGGAAGGACAGGGGCGGGCGCCCAGGCGGCCATCGTCATCGTCGTCGTCCTCCTGCATCCCTCCACCCCCCCCCTTGCCCCCCTCGTCCTCCTCCGTTTCCGTCCCGTTCCTCCACGTCCACCGGCACGCGGGCGCCCAGGCGACCACGGGCATGGCGCATGCCAAGGAGGACCCCCAGAGGAGAGCGACGAGGATCGGGTCGACGGTACGGAAGGCGGGCTGGCCCGTGGCCACGGTAGGCTAGCACCATCCGGAACGAGGGCAGCGCGGGCGCGGGCGTTCAACGTTGAAGCCCCCCGACATCCCCAACAGTGGAGATCGTTCCAGGTTGAAAAATATGCGCGGCGACAGAAGCCAGAACCCATTCCGCCGTGGAGGGAGCTCGCCTTACTTCAGCGGTCGGCTGGCCACGCTGGGACCAAGGGGCCCGGGGGCAGGAACAATCATACAGACCGCCCCCCCCTTTGCCCCCCCCAGAAAACAACCGATCTTACAGGCGGTCAAGTTCTTTCATGTGCAGGGTCTGTCTGGTTTTTCTTGGGGCAGTCATCCGACCTGGCGCGGGGGCAGGCGCCTCCTCCCTTCTCCCCCACGCCTGTGTTCCTCCTCCCTGTCCGCAGCTACTCAATCTGAGTACTACTACCCTCTATATCCTGATACTGTCCAGTGCGGTGGCCGCCTCCCTCGTGCACTGCTTTCTTACTGGATTTCAAATGCATCGTCGCTCTGCTCCCGTCGTTCAGATTTGCGCTCTCGCCCCAGCGCGGGCCACAATTCTGGATCCGAATCCTTCCTCCTCGTTGCCGTCTCCCTCGTTTCCTATCATTTGCCTTCCCCTGGTCCTCCTGTTCCTCCTCCTGCTCCTGCTGTCGCTGCTCCTTCCTCATCTTATGCGCATCCGCCACCTCATTCCCCCTTGCTCCGTTTCCAGTGTGCAGAGCCCTCCTGTCTGGTTGCGCATCACACGATGGGGCGAGGCCGAGGTCCTCTGGAACGCTTCAGTCGGCGGATGCAACGCCTGCGCAACAGCGTAGCAGAAGCGAGTTTGATTTCTTGACGCTTCTGGCGCCCCCACCTGCCATCCAAGAACGATGCCCGGGAGAGCTGCTCTTATCAGGGTAGTTTGGAGAGCTCGGGGAGCCTCCGTGGGCCAGAGGCTTCTTGTATGCCCCCCGAAGTCTCTTGGGATGTCTCTTGGATGCCTCTTGGGGCGTCTCTGGGGCGTCTTGGGGGCCCCTTGCGGCGCCTTTGGGGCCTCCTGGAGGCCTCTTGGGACGTCTTGGGGACCTCGTGGCGGTTTCCAGAGCTTCTTGGGGCGTCTTGGGACCCTTTTGTGGGCCGCTCGGGCTGTCTTGGAGCTATCTCGAAGGCACCTTGGGCCATTTTGCGCGGTCACAAATCCAAACAGGCGAGAACTTCAAATCCTTCAAACGACTCTGGACAAACACTTGTTTTTGCCTCCTCGGGCTCTCCTGGAGGGCCTCTTGGAGCCCTCTTGGGCTGTCTTCGAGGCCCCTTGGGCTGTCTTGATGCCGTCTTGGGAGCCTCTTGAGTGGGCATGGGTCACCTTGAGCAGTCTTGGCGTCATCTTGGCTGTCCTGGGAACTGCTTTGGAGGCCATCGTGGCAGTCTTGAGGCCGAAATTAGCTGGAGTCGAACTCCAAAGACAGCACCAGAAACCTTCCAGGCAACAGAGCAAGAACAAACATTACAACCCGCCCACTTCGCGCAGGCACGGTGGCGAATACTTCAGCGCAGTTGGAACGGATGTGTGGGAAGGGAGTTTGAAGGGACCGTTGCGATCGCGAATATCCTCGGTCGCTACACCAACGGCTTCTCCTGCTACAACCGTCTGCAGCCGACGGGCGCGGCCGCGCGACCAACGTCCCCACGCTCACGAGATCTAAGGGCGCCGACAGGCGAACATCAATCATTCTCCAGGTGTTCCTGGACATGCGACAGGCCCTCCGATCATTACTTTCACCACAAGTCCCTCCGCCCACCGAGTCAAGTGTTTCGGCTTCCTTTTTTACGGCCTGATCGCCATCGCCATCGGCGTCATCATCGGGCACATGATGAGGGGGAGGGAGGTCGCTTAGACCCGTTGTCCCGCCTGTGACCCTGCGGGAAAGGTCCAATTTCGAATTTGGGTTCGCGAAGTCCACGGCAGCAGATTGGTGCCATTCAACGTGGGCTCCAAGGACTGGCTCGCGCAATGGCCGTGCGCGTGCCATCGGCCGTGATCAACTTCGACGCGGAGGTCAACGGCGCGCGAACCGACCCGCCTAGGACATTGCCATGCGGCTGGCTCCAGACGTTCGAGAGTCTCGAAGACGAGCGACAGATGCAACGAGGCCTCGAACTCATGGATTTCAGGGCGGGCCAAAAAAAGAGCGCCGACAGCGCATTGGCCAGGTGGAGTTCGCCCGCCTGGAAGCCCAGCAGCAAGGCTCGGGCGGTGTAAATTTCAGGTTCTATCCGCGACGCTAGTCCGAGCTCTCCGAGTGCCTCCGCAAGAAGTGCCGTCGGTGCTGCGGCCCGTCGACAGTGCGATGTTGCCAACCCAACAAGAGTACGATCATTTATTGGTAGCTATGCAGCGACGGTGCATTGTTGGGCGCATGCCAGGCAACGCCGCGCAATTTATGCGTGGACCTGGCCGCAGCAACGTTCTTTTTGCAGATGCCACCTCCATGCGGAGTGGCGGCGGTGACAACCGTCCACAGCCGGGCAAACCAACTTCAGGATTTCGGACACTGACGTCCGCGACCCCGCAGGCACTTACAGAGCGCTCAAGGAAATATAAACGCGCGGGGGAATCCCCCAACGCGCCGCCAGCTGCCGCGCCCCTGGCTGCCCCGCCCTCCGCGCTTGTTGGGGGAATCCAACAGAGGAAGACAACGGTGGAACCTCTGCGTGTGCGATTTCCTTTAGTGGCGAGAGGAACTTCACGCGGCGCGACATCGCCGGCCGAATCGAGGACCAACGCGCCCAATACTTCGTCCACACTAAGCAGTGCGCCACAGGAATACGAAGACGATCGGGACAAACCTCTGCGAAGAGGGCGATCTTCCATGGGGCGCGCTTCGAAAGGGGGCAGGCGCGGTGGGAGCGGTGGGCGACGACTCGCAGGTGGAGGCGCCCACCATGCGTCGGCGCCCTGGCCGACGACGCTTTCGAGGAAGCATTCTTCGACGGGTGCGCCAAGGACAAGGGCGAGGGCGCGCGGAGTGGGCGGGGGTCAGGCAGGGGGGCGGGGGGGGGGGGTCGCCGTCGGAAACCCGTCGGAAAGGGCGGCGAGGCAACGCGCTGCCGCGACCGCGGATCCACGCGCCATCTCGCGCGTGATTCTCCACGTCCGAAGGGACGAGGACAGGGTCACACACCTGCAGAAGACGCGTTGTTTACTGGGCCAGTGGAATATTGCGACTTGCCCGAGCGCGACCCCCGCGGGCAGACATGTTGTAGAAGTCGAGGAGTCAGTTTTGCTCTATCTCAATCTTACTTTCGAGCGCATCTTTTAGAACTGCCAGCTGCGCAACTAAAGTGTCAATGACTGGATCGCGGGTAGCGCGGCAGGCGCGCCCGCCAGGTCGCTTCAAAGATGAGGCCGTGCACTGCGTGCGCCCACTGCAACGAGATCGCAGGCGACGACGACGCGACCGACCCCGACGCCTCATCCGAAGTCCAATCGGCCCCCGGGAGAGAAATCGCCGAGGCTCCCACGCGCCCGCTGGCGCCGCGCGCCCGATGATCGTGGAGCCAGGTATTCGCGCGCCTGGCCCCTGGGTGCCATCGAGACATCAGTCCAGGGGCGCGACGCCGTTTCGGCGGCATCTCGCGCGCGCGGCGCGAGGCCGCCTCGCTGGCTTAGACGAGGGGCCGCGGAAGCCCGGTGTATCAGTTTTATCATTGGCGCGATCACATCTTCGCCGACGCTGACCGCGCCGCCACTTCTTGGGCGAGCTCGAATTCCAAGCCCTGTGAGAACGTCGGCATATGAGACTGCCGCGCTCGCTCAGCAGCGAGGAATCGAGGCCCCACGGGCCCCCCCCATCTTATTTCGCGATGACAGAGCAGGGCTGGGAGATTCAGAGGCGCGCAACTAACTCGCGGGGCCCCGCGCCCCTCGGGCCGCCGCCCCCTCGCGGGCGAGCGGGGCCAGGGCCGCCTATGACGCATCGCTATGTTCGACGACCTTCCGAGAAGGCATGGATAGAGGAATCTCATATCTTTGCTACCTGATGACTGATGGGATGCCCCGTGCGCGCGCGCTCGTGGCCCGGGCGCGCTGGCGACCATTGCGCCGCGCAGTCGCGCACAGATGTGCCGCGGGACGACGACGGTAACATCCCCGAGTTCGGCGCTACGCACGAGAACTGCGCGCCGTTGGACCTGCAAGGCACGGGCGCCGAGAAACTCGGCCAGATCTCACTGGCCTCGTCATCTTCCCGACTTGGAACCATTTGTGCCGACGACGGCGCTTCGCCACCTCAGATAGGTCGGCCCCGACGCTACACGGCGTGCCATGCGCGCCCAGGCGGGGGCGCCTTGGCGCGACGATGTTCGTGGACTGGATACGCATGCGTTACACTTGGCCGTTCTAGGTTGGATGCGATTCAACTGTCAAGTACGGTGCGACGGCCATCTTCACGAGTGCCCCATATACACTACTCCTTATCCGAGTGGAAGTTCACATCTTCGGATAATCGGGATGAACAGAGACGAGGTGGATCAGAAGACGGGAAGATGTTGATGATTGAAGCAGAGGAGGAACCACCGCCAGAAGGACCACCTCGCAGGGGGCGCGAAGTGCTGGGGCCGCCGCGATTTTTTGGCCGAGGAGTTCACCGTCGTAGCGACCGCGCGAGGAAGGAAACTCCACCCGCGACGATGAAAACATTGTTCGCCGCGACCTGCGACGCCGCCGTGTTCTTTGTCTCGGCGCGAGACTGCAGCGGCGAGCTGCTGCGAGGCCGCAGCGCGCTGACTGCCGCGGCGGGATCGACGCCCCAGAGCGGCATTTCGCATTGCGACCTCGCGACGAACGTCGCGGCAACGCGATGCCGATCGCCGGCGATCCCATCGGAGCGGTGCAGCGCGATTTCATGTTCGTCCAGCAGCGCCAACGCCGCGGCCCCGCTCGTTCGCCACCCGTGGAAAAAATAGATCGCCGCAACGACGGGCAGATC